TTGAGATTAGCATTTGAATGGTCGATCCAGTAAAGAAGATTGCTTTCCCCAATGTGAGGGGGTTTCATACAGCTCGAGAATGATGAATTCTATGAGAAAAGTGGCATGAATGATAAAGAGGCCATTAATCAATCCACTTCTTGTTTTAAATTAATCTGCAATTACTTTGGTTGGTATATGATGGTTGATTTTACGAATCAACATGACTGGGCTAGTGGTTGACCAGACAGCTGGTAAAACATTATTTCTAGGTGTGTCTGTGAGGGTGTCTCTGGGAGAGATTAGCATTTGAATCCGCAGACTGAGTAAACAAGACGGCCCTCGGCAACGCAGGTGAGCAACCTGCAATCTACTGTGGGCATAAGCACAACAAAAAGGCCGAGTAAGGCTGCGTTTGTTCTCTGCTTGAGCGGAGACATCCATCCATCTTCTCCTGCCCTGGTACACCGGCACTCCTAGTTCTGAAGCCTAAGTTCAGACCAGGCCTTACCCCCTGCCCCACAACCGCCCATTCTCAAGCCTTTGAACTCAAGAATTGCATCACCAATTTTCTTAGTTCTCCAGCTTGCAGACAGCAGACTGTGGGACTTCCAGTCTCTATAACTGCCTGAGCCGATTCCTATAACAAACCTCCTCACACATATCTCATTAGTTCTGTTTCTCGGGAGAACCCCTGCTAATATACTTGGAAATGACAAAGTATTCCGGGTAACATAAGAGTAGACGGAAACCGTGGGTCTGTACCAGTCCCCGCTCCCTTGGATTAACATTAGACTATCTTCCTGTCCAACTCCCACTCCCTCTCTTGCCATCCTCCGCTGGAGATGGAATGTGGTGTCAGCCAAATTCCTGGCTTGGGAGGATTAAATGAGAAACTTCAATAAGCAGGAAGAAGTTTTAGCTCATGTGAACTACCGCTGCTAAGGATGGGGTAGGAGAATAAAAGTATTTAAATGCCAATTTCACATGCTTTGTATTATTCTGGATTACTTCACCATAGGAGGTATAATGGACATTTATTTTTGGTACCCTGGCACCTGCCCCCGCCTCCCCCCACATTTCTAGTACTGAAAACCCCTATCTCCACACTCCAGCCATGTAGTGTGGGTGTGGCTGACCAGCTCCAGGATGGGAATGTAATTCAGGCTCAAATGGATCTTCACATCCTCTGCCCTCAATGATCCACTCCATGATGGCGAAGTGCCAACCAGAGATGATGCTGGGACTTTTGCTGGGATTGGGAAAAAATGGAAAAGAAATGGAGACTCTCTCTCTCTTTTTTTTATGAGGAGGGTGGAGGGCGGGGGAGGGTATCTTAAAGATGTTTGTGTGGAGCTGCTGGGAGTCACTTTGCCATCAAATGGGACCTAAACATGATTTGCACATAAAGGGAAGGGGGTGGGAGGACTTCAAGGAGGCAGGAAAAGGAAGCAAATCTATGACAGTTTTTGAACACATCAATTAGACCATGTCATTCCCACAGATAAGAAACGCTCTGGACTTTCAGTTAAGTGAGCCAATAAATACCTCATTAAATGCAGAAAAAGCAAGCACCTGACGAAGTCTAACATCCTTTCATAATAAAAACTCTCAATAAACTAGGAACAGAAGGGGACTTCTTCGACCTGACTGAAGGCACAGCATCATCATACTTAATGACAAAAGACGGGATGCTTTTCTCCAGGTATCAGGAACAAGATAAGGATGCTTGCTCTCACTTCTTTTCAACATTGTGTTTTACTCAGCAGCCTTGTGAAAAGTAGCTCATCCAGACACATCACTAAAACAAACAACAAACAACAACAAAAACACTGTACTTCATTAAAAAGACACTTAAATTTTTGAAAAATATTTATTTCTAAATTGGCACACAGTAAAATTTCTTCTTTGGTTAATGGTTCTGAGTTTTGATAAGTGCATAGTCCTCTATGCAGAAAAATTCCACTATCTTCCCCTCAAAATTCCTCTGTGGTACTCCTTTGCAGT